ATGTCACATGAGCACTCCATATTACTTTTCTGCTGCAAAATCTTAGAAGTCTAATTGAATTTCTGTCTCAGCCTCGACCTCATGAATCTTACAGAAGCTAATAAAAATATTCAATTAATTAACAAGAAAATGGGAAAGACAGAGAGGAGATTAAAGGGACTCATCCCTGCAGAGTGGAAATCTTTAGATGATTATTAAGAAATAGGGCGAATAAAACAGACATTCAAAGAGTTGAAACAAAGTATTAAGTCCAGCACCAAGGAAAGTTAGAACAACCAATGGACCCCCCTGCTGGTCCCCAAACCATACAGGACCACAGTTTGCATGAGTTTTAAAAGCCTAAAGCAAATATTACAATGAGAAGGCTCGCACAGAATCACCTAGGGCAATAATTAAACAGATTAATCAAGATAAAGACTGACAAAATGACTATGGTCCCATAGCTCTAGTCTTTGTTGTTAGCCCACAGTCTTAGTTACATGAGTAGGTAAAACGGTCAGGAGGTGGCGAAATTTCTGGGACTCCTTGAGAGGGAAGCCTCATTCACTGTGGTACCAAAACACATTGACGAAGCCCTAACTAGGGCTACAATTAGATGGACAGAATATGAAAGTGTTAGGGTTGACTGGACTGAGGTAGAAGTTAGGGTGAAAATGGGAATGTTTAAACAGGATTTATGTGAAGAAGTTATTTCTTCTTTACTTAAATGTTTTATGTGAATGGATACTATGTCTAACTGGGGACTACTTCTGAGAAAGAGAAGAGACTTTTTTTCCCTTATTATCAAGGCTATATGTTGGGTACTCCTTTATAAAAATGAATAGGATGTAGACCCCAGCCCCAGGGCAGTTCCCATATGTCAGCAATGCATAAGAAATTTTTTTAATTGACAAATAATTGTACATATTCATGGGGTACATAGTGATGTTTCGATACACATAATATATTGCAATCAGATCAGGGTGTTGACCCAAGAAAGTGACTAAGGCAAAAATCTCAATCAATGGAGGTTTATTAAGCCAAAGCTGAGGACGAGCCCAGGAAAAACATGAACTGCAGATGAGCTGTGGCTGTTTTTTCCGATGGGGAATTTGGAACCTTCAGGATTTAATATTTATTTATTTATTTTTACAGACCTTAGGACTTGGAAAGTTCAGCATTTTAAAGGCATACAAAGGCAAGGAAAAAGACATTTTTAGTATGTTAAAATTATACAGGAAGCATTGACGAATATGAAATGGTATTTAACTTTCTTTGGATTATATTTGTATAAATGTGTTAATGTGTTCCAAAATTGTATGAGATTCCTAAAATTCTGACATGTATTGGTATGTGTTACCAGTAATAATTATGATTATTATGTTAAATTGTTGTATGCCACAGAAATAACAAAATTTTCTTGTTTTTTTGGTTTTTTTTTTTTTGAGATAGAGTCTTACTCTGTCGCCGGGGCTAGAGCACAATGGTGTCATCATAGCTCACTGCAACCTTGAACTCCTGGGCTCAAGTGATTCTCCCACCTCAGCCTCCCGAGTACCTGAGACTACAGGTGTGTGCCACCAAGCCTGGCTAATTTTTTCTATTTTTTAGTAGAGACAGGGTGTCACTCTTACTCAGGCTGCTCTTGAACTCCTAGGCTCAAGGGATCCTCCCATCTCAGCCTCCCAGACTACTAGGATGTCAAACTGTGTCTTTACCATGGCTATTCTAAGACTTTCAACATTCACAGATGATTATTGTTTTACTTTGACTCTTTTCAAATACTGATTTATAATCAGCTACAGTCTAAAATGTGCTGCTTCTTTAAGGAAAGTCATGGAAAGGACAATGATACTTTTTTTTTTTTTTGAGACAATGTCTAGCTCTGTTGCCCAGGCTAGAGAATAGTGGCACAATTGCTGCTCACTGCAACCTCAAACATTTGAGCTTAAGCAATCATCCTGCCTCAGCCTCCCACATAGCTAGGACTACAGGCACAAACCACTATGCCTGGCTAATTTTTCATTTTTTTGGAGAGATGGGATCTAACTATGTTGGCCAGGCTGATCTTGAACTCCTAGCTTCAAGCCATCCTACCCCCTTGGCCTCCCAAATTGCTGAGATTACTGGCATGAACTACCGCACTCAGCCAATGATAAGTACTCTTGAATACAGGTTTCTGATAACTTTGGAGATCATACCATTGGACCAGGTAAAAACCTCCAGGAGTCTATTAAAAAGCTGATATATTCATGAAGACTGCAAACACAACTGCAAGCAGCACAAGAGTCAATTACATGGGACTAAACTAATGGAGGATTGAAATATTTTTTATGATTTTTTGTTTAAAATGTTACTAATTCTTTGTTTTATTTAAGTAAATAAAATTAAGTAAATAGCAAAGTTTACTTGATATCTCCAGAATTTGAAAACTATTCAATCCCACTGGGCACAATCTGTTATCCATTGCCAATGCCCTGCTGCTAAAATAATACAAACATCCTCCCTCTAGACCTAGAAACTACTATGGAAGAGGTGGGCATGTGAGATTGTAAGGGCTGATTTTGAGGGATGGAATTAGTTCAGATCCTCCAAGTCAAGGACATGCATACAGATGCCTAACCAGCAGGCAATTTGGGAGACTTTGCCTCTTGGGCCACTGTGTGGCCCATTTCCATACATCCCAACCATAAAGATTTTTCTTTTTCCCATAAAACTAAAAGAAAATTACCACGAAGATACTGAGATACCTAGTGGCAAAGCCTCCTGGGAATAGTCGTTCCCAGTTATAATGTTTATGCAGAGATTACTAAAGAGATGGCATGGTAGTACAACAAAAGTCTCTAAATTCCTTAAATGGTTTTTTAACACAATGTTTATATTTTGTATAACAAATTGCTACAAGTCTGCAACTAAAACCAAGATTACAATAGCTCAATGCTTATAGAGGGGTTAATTTTGTACCCTTGTCTTCAGCTTTTGGTTTTTAACTCTTACCTTGCTTAAACAGTTTAAAAGGTTAATGAGTACCTGCCCACCTCCATTGCTGTCTGCCCTAGATCATTTTCTGGCTGTAAGACTTTTGGCTCTCAGTTCTTTGGCCATAAGGGTCACTGAGTGACAGGATGAATCCAGAGAAGGTAGCCACACCACCCTGGCAATGATGGGACAAAAAAGCTTGGCCATTGATGCTTGGCAAATCTTAACCAAAGGCGGGTGCGGGGGACGGTCTATAGAATGTCAACCAAAAATAAAATCCTAAGCCTCCCTTGACTGATCAAAACCCCTCTTGGCCAAGGGAACTTCAGAAAAACCAGAAAACTAAGTTCCTGGATACACCTCCTTATGCCCCCTTCCTTTTGAAGTTTATACCAAATTGCAAACTGAATCCAAGGCCACCCAAGGCAAAAGTTAATTCATGCCTGCATGCCATCAAATTGCTTAACAGATCACTTTGAGTATATTGTAGCTTGCTGTCTGATTAACAGACCCCATTCCTTTCTCTTTTGAGACGGAGTCTTGCTCTGCCACCCAGGCTGGAAGAGCAGTGGCACTAACATAGCTTATTGCAATTTTGACCTCCTAGGCCTAAGCAATCTTCCTACCTCAGCCTCCCAAACAGCTGGGACTACAGGCATGTGCCACCACACCTGGTTAATTTATTATTTTTTTGTGGAGATGGTCTCGCTATGTTGCAGAGGATGGTCTCAAACTCCTGGCCTCAAGCGATATCCACCCCTTGCCTCCTCAGCCCCTCAAAGTGTTGGGATTACGGGTGTGAGCCATTGTGCCCGCTCGGAACTCCCCCTATGTGAACTCAAGCATTTCTTAGTGACTCCACGTCTTTACACAAGGCTTTCTTTCTTTAACCAATAACAAATCAAACCCACCTATATACAGCCTTTTACCGCCCCTGCCTTCAAGATCTCCCACCTCTTCCGGCCAAACTAAAGTAAACCCTCTGTGTATTGACTTAACTATCTACCTGCAACTCCTGTCTCCCTAACATGTATATGACCAAACTGTATGTAACTCAACCACCTCAGGACCACTTATTCAAGGTTTCTTGGGTATGGTTCCTCAAGCCATTGGTCACTCATATTTGGCTCAGAATAAACCTCTTTAAATTATTTTACGGAGTTTGGGTTTTTTCTGCTAGCATGTCAATTTAATTCGTAGACCAGCCAAAAAAACCTAGAAGGGTAGAAGGAAACAATTTTTCCGCCCCTACAAATATTTCCTCTTGTCCTAACTGAAACTTGTTCCTCCTTTCATGCAAAGAGAGAGCCTCACCAGGCAGCACCACCAGCTCCACAGAGTTGGAGCAATTTCCCCAAGAAGCTCCCAGCACTCCCTGTCACCCCCAGAGACAAGCAGAGGAAACGGCATCTATCCCTTGGTAGATACTAGGCAGACGAGAACAACTGCAAGTCCTGCTGCTCGCAAAGAGGAGGAGATTATGGAGGAGGAGGCGAGCGGGATGAAGCAGAAAACCGATAGCCACAGCGGAAGGAACACCTCCCCACTCCAGCCTAACTCCAAGCCATCTTCGCCCTGTTGTCATAGCGCTTTACAACGGACGCTACTGCGCAAGTCAGACGCTGCCCCGCGGCGCCTTCTGGGGGCTGAAGTGTAGGGTGGCCGAGGCGTGGAAGGCGGAGAACGATTTCTGAGCGGGCCGCGGTTGGAATCAGATTTCTACTGGGGTGGGGCTCGTTTGAACGACCGCCTAGTCCTCATTAGCGGGGAGAGATAATTAATGCAATTCCCTTCCCTGTCCTTGCAGCACTAACTCAGACGCACCTGCCAAGCACCAGCCTCCCGCCAAGAATCTGAGCCAGGTCCCGGCTCTTCCGCTGCGTTCCCGGCCCCGCCCCTCGGCGCTCGTGGGCGGGGCCTTCCTGGGGCGGGGCGTCGGGCGGTTCTCCTGGGCGCGCCCTGGTACTCCACGCTTCTGAGGCTCCCAGTGACCGCGAGCGGCCTGTTCTTTTCCCGCCGGGAGGCGCACTAGGGCCGCGTCCATGGACCGGGCGGCCGTAGCGAGGGTGGGCGCGGTAGCGAGCGCCAGTGTGTGCGCCCTGGTGGCGGGGGTGGTGCTGGCCCAGTACATATTCACCTTGAAGAGGAAGACCGGGCGGAAGACCAAGATCATCGAGATGGTGAGTGCGGGGAGTCGACATGCCCAGACCGCCCGAGGCTCAGGCTGGGCGTTCCGGTCGGCCTCTCCTACCTGCTCTGGACCGCTGCTCGAATGCGGTGGGGAGCCACCGCTGTCGCTGATCAGGCTAGGGTCTCGCTAGCTAGGGGCACACAGCTTAGGGGACCCGGTCGCCCCGCGTGCGGCGACTCTGCGGGCTCGGTGACTAGGGCTGAATGCCCGACTGTGGCACTCGGGTGCCGGTGGTCTTTGTTATGTCTCCATTGAAACAGCAATGCTGGAAACAGATGATTCGAAGACCAGCTACCTTGTGCTGCAGAACCTGTTTCTCCAGAGATAAACTGCAGGTCCTGGGCAGGTTGCTTCCTCTCTCCCTCTCCCCTTCGCCCCGCATCGGTGTCAAACCGTTGCAGTTAATCCCATTGTGATAACCACAGAAGAGTAGCTGCTTTACGTCGGGGCTGCCATGAGTTAAATTATGAAAATGTGCATTGTCTGAAGTGTTTACAGGAATGCCAATCAATCTAGTAGGAATTCAGGATAGTTTCTTTTATATTTGAATGTTACTCCTTCTTATCTCAAACTCCCAAGAAGTATCTTTGTGTTCATTTTTTCCTCCATCGCTCTTGTGTGAATTTTTGAAAAATTTTTGAAATTCATTTCCAGTTTTATCGAATGTGTCTCAAGAATTCCGTGTGAGGTAAATTATAAGTAATTTGTTCCAGTGTTGGAGGCGTTGAGTTTAGTTTTGTTCTTTAATTAGATTCCACTCAGAAAGACAAGTTCCACACTGATTTATATTCTAATGTATTTACTGGAATGTGTGATCCTGGGTATACTCCTGATTGTGCACTATACGTGTGAACGTCTGGGTTCACATGTTTATGATAGAAAAAAAGTGAAAATGTGTACACTGAATATCATTTTAGGTTTAATACTTGGAATTCTTCAGCATCTGTCCTATGTTCAAACTGATGAAAGAGACAGTTTATCCTCTTGGTTGGTATTAGCCTCAGGTCGAGTACAGAAATACTTTTGCATAATTAAAAGTAGCTGAAGTCACAGCTCATGGTGGGTGGGGCTGAGGCAGGAGATTCACTTGAGGCAATGAGTTCAAGAGTGTAGTGGGAGGCTCTAGTGCACTGTGATCCCACCTGTGAATAGCCACTGCACTCCAGCTTAGGGTCACAGTGACACCGTCTCTTAAAAATGAAAACCCACATCTCATATTCCAATAACATTCCTAGATTTTTTAATTAATTTATTTCTAAAGGGTCTTAATAATTCTAAAGTGTTATTATAACTTCTTTTCTCCACCTCTCTATACCCACAGCAGCAAATGTTTTCGTCTCAGAAGTTTCATTTTGCTCTTGTTGCTGTCCTGCTTAGAGACCTTCAAGGATTTTTGTTTTGCTCACAACCCAGAGTTAATAGTGCATATGTGGGGGGGAACCACAAAACTAATTGCTATACCTTCCTGTATATACTTAAACTGTGGAATTATTTGTTATATCACTTCTCTAAACCAAGTGGGGTTAAAAATCAATGTCTTCTTGTCTGATTGGTCTTGTTGGTTAAAAAAATGCTTTCACAAAATCCTTTAATGATACCATCCTAGGAATAGTTTACTATTTTTGTGAAAAATAATGAAGGTCCATCAGGAATACTAACTTTACTCGTTTGTGCTATAGAAATCAGTCAATATTTACATGTTTATGTGACACATTGTAATTCAGATTGTAATATATGTGTAGCTTGCTGGCAGCTTTTCAATGGAAAAAGTGAAAAGAGCTTTATGTTAACTTTTGCCATTTTAATAGTTTGCCTCTTCAAGTGGGATAATTATTTGCCTGGGATCGAATCCTGGTTCTATCTCTTTGTAACAGCTGTGTTTTAGAGGGCCTGCTCTCCCCATCCCCTACCCTCCTCTGTCTATCCTCTACCCTTCTCCCTCAGACAATCTGTACAAAGCCATCATGTTCAGTGGACATACCTCATATTGGTCACAAAAAATGGAACCAGAAACTACGTAACCAAGGTGGGCCTATCTTTAGCTGGCTAAGAGAACCAGTGACTTTTGGGACATGGCTCAAAATGATGCATTGTCTTTCAAGAGTTTTACATTGAGAAACATGAGGAAATTGCTAGTGGGCTATGCGTGCTACAGCTGAAACAGTCCTTTAGAGCAGCAAGATTAAAGTACAGAGGAAGCCAGTCAGAAGACATGCTGGAGATGTCCTGAGTAGAGATAAGAGGAACCAGTTGGTGAAGTTGGCTATTTGTTTCCTTCCAAGCCTAATCATCCTTTTGTGTGTTCCATGACACCATGTAACTATCAGAGTTAATATAGTTTATTTTTAAGTAAACTTTATTTTGTAACAATTTTAGATTTACAGAAAAATTGAGTAGATAAGCACAGTGTTCTTACATATCCCACACCCAGTTTCTCCTATTGTTAACATCTTACATTATGTTACAGTTAATGAACAAATATTGCTACACTGTTAAATGCCTGTACTTTATTCAGATTTCTGCAGGGAGGTGGCCAAGCTCCCCACAAAAAACCGGGTCCCTTTGGTAGGGTTGCAAGGGATAAGAAAATAATAGAAAATTGAAAATAATGGAAATAAAAGAACACACAGAGACAAAGGTATAGTTTTATAGATTTGTAAAGATTATAGGCCAAGCAGGTGCTCAGGGGGCCTGGATTTCTCTGTCAATCTCAAAGGCCAGGAATGAAGTCTTACATGGTCATTTATAGGTAACAGTGATCAGTTGCCAGAGGTAACAGATTTACATAACAGCAGGTAGTTCCCCTTAGGTTAACAGTTTTTCAAAAGGCTTCTACAGATCCTTTAACTAATTCTATCTATGTGAACAAATGGTTACAAAATCTTTCAAAGATTAACTTCTAAGTTCTAAGGTAAATTTATCACTTAACAGAGGGGTTAAACAGAGATATATTGGCTCCATATTTTCTTTATCAGGTTATTGTGAATGGAGACAGGTAGTCCGGAGTTTTAAGCAGAAACTGCCCCTTGGGCCATAGGCGGGCTGTTCGGGCGGCTGTCTGTTCCAGGCGGGCACTCTTTGGTCAGCTCTCATCCTGTAGTTTTTAACAGATCTGCTTTGCTTTACAAAGCAAATCCAAACCTTTAAGTCTGAGAAAGCAGCGCCTTGTGGGATACAGCCCCTACTGTCTTTCAGAGATGCCCTCCTGAGGTGCAACAGCTTTTGATATGCAAACTAACATGTTCACATATTCCTTCAGGGCAAAGCTCTGCAAAACTCCTGAGACATATCCTGTCCCCAATATATTTATATTAATTCATGGATTCAAAGATTTCCTTTGTTTTTACTTGTCCTTCTCTGTCCCAGGATCCCCTCCAGGATACTACATTATTGTCATCATGTCTCCTTCTCTCCACTTGGCTGTCATGGTATCTCAGACTTTGCTTGTCTGTGTTCTTTAGTTTTGAGTAGTTGTGGCCAGGTGTTTTGAAGAATTTCCCTCAGTTGGAATTTGTCTGAAGTTTTTCTCATGATGACCTGGAGTTATGGGTTTGGGGGAGGAAGACCACAGGTGAAGTTTTATTTCCATCACATCATATTAAGGGTCCATACTATCAACATGATTTTTGACTTTAACCTTGATCACCTGGCTGAGGTAATGTTTGTCAGGTTTCTCCACTATTATTTCCCCTCTCCCTTTCTATGCTATGTTTTTTGGAAGGAAGTCATTATGAGAAGTCCACACTTACAGAGTGGGGAATTATGCTCCACATCCTTGAGGGTGAAGTATCTACATAAATTATTTGGAATTCTTATGTACAAGAGATTTGTCTATTCTCCCCTATTTATTTCCTTATGCAGTCATATTTATGTCAGTATAGACTCAAAGATACTTATGTTTTGGCTTATAATCCAGTACTATTTTATTTTGTTGCTGACATGGTTCTAGCTTTGGCCATTGAGAGCTCTGTCAATTGGCTCTTATGTCCCTTTGATATACTCCCATCAAGTCAATGGCGTTTTCTAATGGAAAATGAAATGTTGGGTGCCAAGTAGATGACACTGTGAGAATGAAAAGGAAATAGCTAAGAAAGAAAATTAAAATCCCATTTTGTGACATGTGAAAACTGTATGAAATTCAAATTTCAGTGTCCTTAAATTAGTTTTATTGGAACACAGCCATGATTGTTCATTTATATATTGTCTGTTGCTCTTTCATGCAATAACATGAACAAGTTGAGTAGCTGTGACAGAGACTGACTGGATCACTTCACGCTACATTTTGGCACATTGCAAATCCCAGTGACTCATCTGTAACTTGACAGTATTTCAAGTACCACCCATATATTTGTATGAAAAGATATTTTCAGTGCTGAAATATGTAAAATCTTATTACATATCTGCATTACAAATGAACATTTGCAATAGATTTGATGATAGGTAGTGCTAACTTTGGACCCCAATTAAGCGAAGTGTTACCCAAAAAGATTCTGTGCTTCTCATCAGTAGACCTATATTACAGAAAAATGCACTTAGTTGTGTTATTGTAATTTGAATTTCATCAATAAGGTTGTGGAAATTTATTTTTTTCTCTTGTTACGTGAGTACCTCTATAATATCCTAAAGTGTGTCTCTTGGGCCACAAAACTAAAACTGTTTACTGGCTGACCCTGGTTCAGGAGATATTAAATTCCTGCCTAAAATTTTATGATATGGTTGAGTAAAGCACAAAAGCAAATAATTTATTTGTATAAACAGATCCCGGCTTCAGATACTTGCTTTTCCACTTACAAATGGTGTTGCTTTGAACAAGTTATTTAACCTTGCCAAGTCTTGAACAAACTAACTTTAAACAAGTCCCTTAGTCTTTTGTAGCCTAGGTTTATTTTCCATAGCTGTAAAATGGGAAATACTAGTATCTATCTTGAGTTGTGAGTAGGAAATTGAGTTGTGAGTATGAATTAAAGTATGTGAAACATCTAGTAATAT